TTTTGTTCGGTAGTGACGTCTTTATTTATTTTTATTTTGAATAACTCTGTATTTATGACACGCTTTCATTTATTTTGATGATAGATTTTTTTACATTTATGACATATTTTCATATGCCTTTTAGAACACTTTTGGTATTCTTAATCGATTGTTTGGTAGATATTTTTCGTTTAATTTTTGAAGTAATGAATTTGAAGTTGTATGACGATTATTTATGATTTTACTGGATTATTTATGATCTTACTGATTTTCTTTATATTAGACCCTCGTATTGGATTTCAATATGTTGTTTGCATTTTTAGATAGTTCATGTTTTGATATAGTCGTATATGCTCATATCTATATTTTGTTTAAATATTTTGAATTTTTTATATTTTTTATATGATCTTAAGTGATTAGTATCTTAATAAAAAGAATACTTTAATTATATATTTAATTTATGATTATAATAATTTTAAATATATTTTTAATAAAATTAACGAATTTTAATTTATAAAAAAAACTTAAGCTCTGTTTTTAAACATAAAGGTAAACTTTATAAGGAGGAGATTGGAATAATGGTTTTAAACATATGAAATTTGTCAAGTCAAACCAAACGAGAGTGATGTAAAATTTCCTGAAAATGCTTTTAAAATTGTGGCTCTAATTGGGCGGTTAACTTTGTGGATGTAAATGGTCTGTGATTCTAATTTCCACAGAAATGAAGCGAATCCCCTGAAGAGTTAAGCACCTTCCACTTTCCAATAAAAGCTGCGACACTTTTATTTTATGAAATCGTAAATCCAATCCAATCCAGTCCAGTCAAACCAAACAAGCAGATGGCCGTAAACGTGACTCCCTAATTATCGATTCTCGACTCAATGCCAATCCTACATAACCAATTCTGGCACACTGCCACTGCCACCATTTTTAGTATTATTGTTGAACCCTTTGCCATTGGCCCTTCCTTCGTGTTACAACTATTTTCAACTGTAAAAAAAACTTTGTCACATGCCGCTCTGTTTCTCTGACATACTATTTCAAAGTAGAGAGGAAGCTACCTTCAAAATAACCCACAAGAAGCTAAAGAGTAAGGCCAAGGATCCCCTTCTTTTGAAACTACAAGGCAGCCCCTCACCACCAAATGCCGGTCCTACAGCATTTCCTTTACACCCACTTTCCTTCAAATTAAAGAAAAAAAAACACCAATTGAAATTTGTATTGGTTACACGTTAGTTGAACTATTAGAAGTCAGCTAGTCTGTATTTAATAAAGAAATAAGCTTCTTTAATCTTTACTAAGTATGCTTGAATAGTCTAATTTCTACTCCCATCAAATGCTCCTTTTCTCTTTTTTTATAATGAAAGCGGATTACAGCTATTATTCATAAAACAAATCTTCAGTACGCTGCAAGCAATAGTAACGTGCAACCACATCCCTTGCCCCATTTCCCCTTTCTTCAATACACAAATAAACAACTCTTTGATAAATTTTACTACAATTACATCCCATGATGTCAGCTCGACTACAATATTACCGCAAAAGAGGGTGAAAAATACAAAGCCACACGGTTAAAAAAAACAAAGCGTGGTAAATGTTAATCAGTTAATCTCCCCTTTCCCTTCATTCTTTTCTTACATTATAGTTTTGGATTTTCTTGTTAGGGGTAAAACCTTAAAAGGCAACTTAGAACACCTCTCGCGGAAAAATCTTCTGAAAACCGGAGGGACAGATCTGAATCAGCCAAGTAAATCCTGGTGATTACAGAGTTCTTTCCTTAAACGTTGAGAGAACAGCCTGCAAGCATCAATACTTAGATCAACGGCAGCGGATAAGGCCACGTAAACAGCTGCATCCTCTGTACAGCTCACGTGCGCCACGCTCACCTCCACGCAAGGTTTACTGCACTTCCCTTCTCCTTCCACGCGAGCCGACATTACGAACCCTCGATACATACAAAACGGCCATAGTCCATACCCGAAATCCCCGCTACCCCTCGGACTACACGCTGGCCACGTCGCACTCCCCGGCGTCGCCCGTCCGTTAGAACCGCCTGCGGCGCCCAAGTCAATTACAAATTTCCCTCCTTTACTCGAACTCAGCGTCGACTCGGCTAGAACAATGGCTGCCGCGCTCATATCAGGAATGAGTTCGAAACGGTAACCGAGCCCGTCGGAAGAGCCACGTTCTCGCCAAGCCTCGAGACGGCCCCAAGGTTTCCAGGTGCCACCTCCTGGACGGAGAATAAGCCACGAGCCGGGATTGGAATGGCTGACTCGGTCCGATCCCGGTGAAGCCACGAACGGTGTAACCATTGAAGCCGCGGCTACTGGTGAGCCGGATAAGTCGTGAACCGTTATTGACCATCCTTTACGTTCTTTTCCTAGCCTTTCCCTTTCGCTTCCAAACGAGCTTAACCAACTCCGAGAGTTGCTCGACTCTGACTGTAACGACCTGTCCGATTTTAACTGAAAAAGTTTATTTGACAAGCAAAAAAAACAAACTAACAAAATAGAAAAAGTGAATAAAAAAAATTCGAGTTTGCTTTACCGTACTATTTTGCGTTCAAATTAACCAACTTTGCATAAAAGCGTGAAGATAGAATAATCAATGGGGATTATATAACTAACCTGGATCTTTGATTCCGACCACCGGTGTTTCTAAAACTGAATACTGGAAAACAAATCTGGGGTCGGGTTCCGCTTTGACATTCAAGTGAAACTGAGCAGAGGTACTTTTATTAGTTTCTTTCCCGACTGAAATCCAGCCATTGAGGAAAACACAAGCCCTGACTTCGGTTCCCGCCAGATCCAACGGTACCGACACTTTTCCTAGCAGACGCCCTGAGTTAACCCCGCAAGTAGTGCCTCTCCGGCCGATGTAGATAGCGATTTTGAGACAAGGTTTGGAAGAAGAAAAGATGGATTTCTCTGCGAGTTTGTCAATATCGACTTTACTGAGGTGGAAAGTAGCATCTAAGGTCTGTAGCTGTTTGTCGGGAAACTGATTCTCCGCCGGAATGCAGGGAACAGCAGCAGTTTGTAAGGGGAAATTCTTAAGCATAATCTTACAAAAACATGGCGATGAAGAAGGATGAACAACGGAGAGTGCAGGTCTCGACGCAACAGGAATTTTCAAGGCTAGATTGCCGACAGTAAGTCGTACGAAAGGGCAAGGGTCCATGTTTTTTTCTTCTGGTTTTGGCACTAGCCCTTTTTATTCAAAAACCGAGTCTTGCATATATATATAGCACCAGCAGTATACATGTGAATAGGAGTTGCATCGGAAAACGGGTTGTAAGCCAAAAATGTTTGCCTGAAACAATTTTGTACATTGGGCACAAATCGATGTATTTGGGAAAAAGGTATGGGAGGCAGGCAGGTAGGGGATGAATGAGTTTCAAAGTGGGTGGGGAAGGAAGAAGCTGGCGGTATCCCATGGAGGGGTTTGGGGTTTTAATAAAGTGGAGGTTTCATTTTTATTCGGTCGTTAGGATGGATCAGAATCTGATTACTGATTTTCACATAGATGAAGGATTTTGCGTGCTGTGATGCTGTCTGTGGGCACGTGGGTCAGTGCCAACGTATTTTTTGCAGAGGGCGATAAAGGCTTAGAACTCGGCATGTCGTGACTCGTGACGTAGAGGCAGAGATTTTGAATTGGGTTGGGTAAACAACCCATAATAGAAAATAGGAACCATGAAGCCCAAAGTAATTGAAATTTAGTCTATGTTATATCATACGAGTTGTTTGTGATGTAAGCAAGACTTGCAGAGGATAACGCACACGTAATCTTAAAGCTAAGGCCCGGAGATACTCATTTTTATCTCACGCTATTTCTTTTGTGTTGAACTCGAAACAGGACCAACCAAAGAAGAAAACCATGGGAATGCCAATAGTCTCCATAACTTCTGCTCCCAAAATCACCTTCATTCCCAATTATATATTCTCCGTACCTTCAATTAAGGTACGTAATCATCCATCTCCATCAATTTTCGGCACAGGGTTGTTGATAGAATGTTCATCGAGGCCGCAGAAGAAGGCAACCAAGCATCATATGAAGACAAGGCCACGCAAGACGCAGCCATGGGACGTAAGGAGGAAACCCACCGTTTACGCTCCTTTGCATCCGCTCCCTCCTGATTGGACCCTTGTTTCAAGCGGCGGCGATAATGATGATGGCGAGGTTGTTGAGGCTGCTCTCGCTGGCTCTGCTCTAGAGGCACCTGCTTCAACTGGGTAGTTTCTTGTTCATCGTTTGTCGGCTATAATATTGCTTCTCTGGGTTTTTGAAATGATTGAATGAAACTGGAATGTACTCTGAGGAATATCTATGTTCTTAAACCTGTCTTTGATTTCGAGGTGGATTTGCCCTTCAGTTAGTTTCAGTTATATTTGAAAATTATGCGTTTCCTTTTCCCCCTTTTTCAACCAGGGTAATATTAGTATAGTAACATACATTGCCAAAAAGGATACCATTGAGATTCTAGGAATAAACCGCAGGTTGATATCTGCCTATATCCAAATTACCATCCCTAGATTCATCAAGGTATATGTTATTTTTTATTGGAAATCTGGGCCATCAGCTGTATATTATAACATCTTGCAAGGTTTTGGGAGTTGGGTCAAAAATATTCCCGAAACTAAAGCACACGAGTTTTAAAAACAACGATCCTCTCATTATCAGCTACTGCTGTACTGCTATACCAAAAACAAGGAAAAAAGGAACAAAACAATGTGTATTTAATAAGATGGAAACTCCAGATGTTATTGGCTGTGGCTGGTTGCAGAAAGAGCTCACCCGTCAGTAAAAGGGTAGTTACAGGGTAGAAGAAAAGAATTAAGCACCACAGGGAGATTTTCATAGAGCTGTTTACATCATTAATAGGAGGACAAAATCCTACCAGCTCCATTCCTTTTGTGCTTTGATATGGCACCCTCCTCCAGCTGCTGCTAGCAGTGATTACACGATGATACAGAAGGGGGATAAAAGTAACAACCGCTAGACATATATTGCACATGTTATTAACAACGTCATCTGATGCTTTGGAGTGTCCCAGGCTTTCACAAAGTTTCTAGCTCGATATTTTCTTGTATCTACTCTGCATTAGGCTCAAGAGAAATTCTGTAAATATATATTCATACCCAGGCATTTTCCCATACCCTGCAATATTTTCACAAACGATTCAGAGCAAGTCAGTTAGTTGTCTGCATGGTGCATCAAAGTTCAAACAGAATGATGATAGCATGCTACAAATGGTATAAGTTTAACTTGCCAGGAAAGTAGTTTATGTCAATGACATAAAAATGATCCCTGGTCCCATGTTCCCAGATAATGTCTAGGTTAAAGAGCCGAAGACCCTACATATAACAATAAGAAATTAGAAATTAATCAAATTATTCTACAGACTGGTATATGTATAAACTAGAGAAATAATAGTAAAAAGGTAAAAAGCTACCAGGCGCCTCCGAAGCTCTTTGGCCAGTCTTTCAAGTAATGGGCGAGGGGGAAGTTCTGCAATAGAAGATAGGAAAAATATAAGAGTCTATTACTCTACTAAAGGCAAGGTTTAAGACGGCCTTCCACACTCGAACAGGATGCCCATTTTTCTAACACCCCACATATGTTGCATGGAATTTACTGAAAAGTCTCAATCAATTAAGTTCATCTTTTTCTAGCAAAACCCAGCAAACTTATTCAGACAAATTCCAAATACAATTACGTTGATCGAACATTGACGTTAAAAATGGGCCACAAGCAAAATTGCAAAAAATAGCTAATGAGAAGGGGTAAATTACTGGATGGGGCAACATACTAGCCACACTAACAACCCGAATATTTACAAAATAATATTAATTGAAATTGGAGGTAAATTGTGAAAATGGGTGAAATTAAGTGACTAAATTAAAATTTATGGAAACTTGTATACCATGTTTGAAGTAAAGGAAATTCAGGGACCAAGCCCTGAATTTCCTCTAAAACTATCGGTAGGCTTGATGATTTAATCACAAATGTTATTCCTTCAATTTTCTTCCTCTCACACCTCCACTTTAAAGTCTGATCCAAACGCCGTCCGAATTCCGATCGTTGTTTTGAAACCACCGTTGTGTTCATCATCGAGCGAGGAAACCCTTCAAATTAATGAAGCGAAACGCGGCCAAACGTCGGGAATTTCCAGTCAAAGTAGCGACGATTTTGTTAGCTCTATCGCCGAGGAAATCTTAAATTCACCGCTGATTGTTGCTCCGTTTACGACACCTCCCGCACCATCGTGTTCCTTGTGCCGTTCCGAGTTCACCGATGTCAACCTTGTCCGCCGTAGACGGCGGCGCGTGAGGAGGTGGTGCAGTCAAAGATTCGGCCGATTTGAAATCGAGCTCTCCGCCGTTCAAAAATTTGAACCGATCGTTGTAAGTATCTCGAAATCGCTCAAAATAATTTTTAGAAATTTTTTCGGGATTTTTAGGGCCCCGGAGGACGCCTCACGCGCCACACGCGCCGCCGCAGGGCGAGTGGCTGCTGGAAACCGGTTTGACCGGTTTGACCGGTCTGACCCGACCCGACCGTTGACCCGACCCGACCGTTGACCGTTGATCGTTGACTTTCTTTGACCAAAACTTAAAATGGATTTGACCGAGCATTAAACGACCGTTAATCTTTTCCGAGTATACCTATCCTGATAGTTTTCGACGTGCCGAATCCGTTTCCGTGGTCCGTTTTGTCAAATTCGAATCCGAAGGTCTCCAAATCTACGGTCAAAGTGGTTGACTTTGACTTTGACCAAGAATTTGAATTTTTGAAAAGTCATACTTTATGTTTTTCGACGCCCTGATTCCGATTCCGCAATCCGTTTGGCCAAATTCAGACTCGAAATACCTCAAATTGATAGTCAAACCCGAAAAATGCGTATATACTTAAGAAGTTAGCTTTGAACAATTAAATAGGATTTGAGACTGATAATATTATTGTTTGAAGGTACAAGAGACTCTCTGGATCATTCGACAGCTCGACCCAGCTCTTCTAGATCAGTTAAACCACGTGTCAGTATTCACTCGTTCGAAAACTGTAGCAGAGCGTGGTGAAACCAGCAATCAGTAGTTTGTTATTTGAATCTATTGTCGAGGTGTTCCCTACTTATTACTGAACTGTTTTATTGGTTTTAATATGTGGTACACTGAATTCATTGGTATTGTTTATTGATGCACCAATTTAATGTGACAATTTATGGAATATGGCTACTATCTAATTTTTGTTTTGAAATGGTATGATTACCATGTTTTTGGATTTTGGAATTTATGTCACGGTGCAATTGAATTTTGGAATTGAATTACGATGGAATAGCTCTGATCAAGCTAACTGGCCTAATGTGACTCTTGAGGGCCCCAAGATGTTTCATTAGGTCGGTTTTCCTTGCTGTGTGCTTAGGGTAGCTATATGGACTTATTGACTTGGGCTTAAGGATACAAGCTTCAGAGCCTATCCTTAAGTCGGCTTTCTTTTTGCTATGTGCATAAGTAAGCTATATGGAAATAATTTTGGGAACTACTGATGGTGTACCAGAAAAGGGTTTAAACTATGATTTTCAAAAAGTTAAACTCTTTTACGAATTTGTGAGATTACTGGACTATGATTTGTACCTATTGATTTTAGGGAAATGTTGGGACACACTAAGCCTAGCTCACCTTTTGAAAATGTTTTCCTCCTTTCAGATACTGTTGGTTAGATACCTTGGTTCGAGCACTTGGAGGATCAACATATCTCTTGAAGTAAATCAGATTGTAATGTTTTTATCTGGCAAGTTGACTTTATTTTGGTGACTGGACCTTATTTTAAAATATCGGATTTTATAATGATAAATCTTTTGCTAATACTGTTTCGGTTTATTGTGATTGAATTTGAAGACATGTTTAAATTAAATTATTATTTATTGGTACTATATTTACGAGTTGGATTTTGATAGTATAATTTGTTTATAATTTCATGTTATTTATAATGTGATTTTATATTGATGGAATAACGGTTGCGAAAAATGTCTTTAATAATCATAATGTGATCCACTAGACTTAGTCGAAACGCATAGGTCGGGTCTAGGGGGTTACATTTATTGGTATTAGAGCTTTTGGTTTTTAACCCTCGGACTGTGTATGAGTCCACATTGAAATACGGTTTTGAAATATTTTACAAAACGAGTTACTAAGGCCATGTCACAAAGTTATTAAGATTTTAACTATGTTTGAGACTCCAAGTGCTTATCTAACCCTAAGTTTTATCTTCTGTAGTAAACTTGAGATCCATCAAAATGAGTGCTAGACGTAGTCGTCGAACTAGCCGTGGACGAGGTCGAGTGGCTAGATTCGCAGATCCGATCGATGAGATACGGGTAGATCCCCCACCTCCGATAGGTGATCATGCTCCTACGACCCCAACGGATCTGCCTCCTGCCGCTGGTATTGGCATGACTACACCGATAATAGAAGCGACCGATATGAGTCAGAGTCTACCGGAGTTGCTTTGGATGAGAATTTTGGTAGACAATTTCTGCAGTTAATACAGGAGCAGTCAGAGCTACTGGTGTTGTATCTAAGGTTCCTATTCGCAGACTTTGATTGCAATGGAGTTAGAACTTTTGGGGGACAGATAGGTGGAGCTCCTACTGAAGCTGAAGATTGGCTCCAGGATACAGAGACGCATGGATCAGTTGGGTTTGGACTCAACTAAGAGATATCAGGGTGCTGTGGCGATGTTAGATGGCAATGCCTACACTTGGTGGGAGTCAGTGACCAGTAGTGTTCCTACCGATCGTTTGACCTGGAATTTCTTTAAGGATCGCTTTCGGAGTTTTTCTGGGAGAGCGCTACTTAGCTCAGAGACGACAACAGTTTCAAGACCTGGTTCAGGGAGACATGACTGTTTCTGAATATGAGATCGAGTTCTTGAAGTTGCTGAAGTATGGATTCAGTATGGTACCTACGGAGAGAGATCGATGTCGTAAATTTGCCCTTGGACTCAGATACGAGTGCGTAGGCAAGTTGTAACCCATCAGGATGAGATATTTGATGTGCTGGTGGGCAGAGCCAAATATGCGGAAGAGGAGGTTTTAGCTTCTGGTAGAGAGCGTGTTGATCAAGATCGATCTAAGAAATTTTCAGGCCCGATGGAATCATCACACAGTCCGGGAAAGACTCGTACTTCAGCCCCTCAGAGAAACAATACACGTTTCAGGCCTGCAGCATCCTCACCTTTAGCTGTCAGTCGAGGCGGTTCCTCGTCGTATTATAATGGGCCCCTTTGTGAGTATTGTGGTAAACAGCACTCAGGAGAGTGTCGTAAGAAGATGGGTCTTTGCTATCAGTGTGGATCTAGTGGTCATTATCGGAGGGATTGTCCTCAGTTAGTTTCGTTTGAGCAGACCACTACCCAAACTCCTGTGCGTTCGCAGACTACAGTACAGACCCCAATTAGAGATCGTAGTCAAGGAAAGACTCGAGGATCAGCGTCCAGGATAGACAGTAGCCCGACCTCAGCAAAATAGAGGCCAACAGCTTCTGAGGCTAGACAGCCAGCTTTAGTTTTATGCAACTAGACGTCGTGATGACAGAGATGAGCCTGAGGTTATTGCAGTACATTTACTATTTATTCTACCCCATACTTTGCATTATTGGACAATGGCTCCACTCACTCCTATATCGAGCTCAGTATCTCGAAACCTTCAGATTCCGATCGAGAACACTGAAATACTATTACAGTTACAAGTCCAGTAGGACAAGTTATTAGTGAATAAAGTTTCGGCGTTGTCCTCTCGAGGTTCAGGAGAAATTTTTCTCGCTGATCTTATGGAACTTCCTTTAGGGAGTTCGATCTAATTCTTGGAATGGATTGGTTGAATAAACACAGGTAAAGCTGGATTGCGAATACAAGCGGGCTACTCTGAAGACTTCAGATGGTCAGACTGTTGTTAATTGGTGAACGGCGTGGTTATCTCTACAATATAGTTTCAGCGATTGGAAATTGATCATATGATCCGGAAGGGATATGAGACCTTCATTGCTTGTATTTTGAACACCAAAGGTGCGTTGTCCACGATCGAGGAGATTCGTACAGTTAGCGAGTTTCCTGATGTTTTTCCTGAGGAGTTTGCCTGGGTTACCTCTTGATAGAGAGGTAGAGTTCGAGATTGAGACTTATCGGGATCTTCACCTATTTATGGCACCTTATCGTATGGCTCCAAAGGAACTTAAGGAGTTGAAAGTCCAATTGCAAGAATTATTCGATCGAGGATTTATCCGACATAGTACTTCACCATGGGAGCTCCAGTTCTATTCGTGAAAAAGAAGGATGGGTCGCTAAGATTATGTATTGACTATCGGAAATTGAACAAGATGACGGTCAAGAATAAATACCCATTACCCAGGATTGATGACTTATTTGATAAATTGCGAGGAGCTACTGTATTCTCTAAGATTGATCTTCGTTCGGGTATTCAATTGAAAGTTAAAGGATCTGATGTTGCAAAA